GCTTATGTATAAAAGAAGATACTACTTCGGAAGTGCTACTCTTTTAGCCATCTTTGTTGTTGACAGGTTATCAACAATGTTTCAGATAACGCTTACGACAGATAGCTCCAGGAAGCGCCACTATTGCGGAGGGGTAGTCTTGTCGGCTCTTGCCCCCTCCACCTCACCTTCATTTGAATTAGTATATGTAGAAATACAGTAAATGATTAGTAATTCTACATTTACTAATAAATAAGTAATAAATGTAGAAATAGTATACATAAATGTAGAAATTATATCGTATTGGTTACATATTTTTTTTTTTAAGTTAGCATTCTTTTCCTACCATTTTCACTTCATAGGAAATAAATATCGACTGAATATCCATTCGATTTTACATGTTATAAACATTTTAAGATATTACAAATTCATTTTTTTTTCATTTAAGTAACCATATCTCATATAATATTATTTATACTTATAGTTTCTATATATATTCTATCTTTCAAACAGGCCTTCGGTTTAATGGATTACATACTGTTGTAATAACATGTTTCGTTGAAAGAACTTGATTAACTTAAATGTTGTTTTAATTGTGACACTCTAACTGTAATTGTATTATTTCTATATAATACCATTGTTCTTAAACTCTCTTGTTTACTTTCAGAAAAAAATTGCAATTCATATAGATTTCAAGTCTTCAAGAAGAAAGTTAAAACAATTTAAGTTTAATCAATCAACTTCTTTAATTTAGGATAACCAAACTTAAAAGCATTAGTAATTATAAATTTCGAAGTTAATAAAACAAAAACAGGCAATATATAAACACAATAATTATAAATAATATTAGAAATATATAATGGAAAATCAAATCGATTGAGGTTATATGTGTCTATAAATAATATCGAAAATAGAAAGTTTGCTAAATCGATATACTGAAGTGACAAAAAAGTCGACAAGTTAAAAAAAAAAAAAAAGGCTAGTAAAATATATATTTGTAATGAACGTAAGGTGGAGGGGTCAAGGACTGACAAGACTACCCCTCCGCAATAGTGGCGCTTCCTGGTGCTATCTGTTGTAAGCTTTATCTGAAACATTGTGGATAACCTAGCATCAACCAAGATGGCTGAAAGAGTAGCACTTCCGAAGTAGTACCTAAAAAATACATATTTAACTACCAGGGCTTTGTTAGTTCTTAATCATTTTTTTCCGCATAAATTTTTAATTTTAATCAGTTAAGCGCTTCATCACCTATATGAGATAGGCTTGTATGATTATAATCCTAGTTTAAGGAGGAACACAGGTATCGTAATAATAATTAATAGTTAAGTCAAGCCAAATTTGAACCAAATCGATGCCGGTACCGCCAGAAAAATCTCCATAGAGTGTCCTCTACTTTCTCCTAATCTAAAACCCACCAGAACTACAAGATCCACAATAATTCTCATACATGCCTATCGTACATTGACCCGTGGAATGATTACCTATTTAGTGATCCGTTTTTTATCAAGTCCGAAAACATTAATTATGTCAAAACATTCTTCGTCGTGTATCTGTCCATGTTATCCTAAATTATTTCCTTTCTCTGACCGAATATTCAAAACCAGTAAAGACATTCGCTGAATTATATTTTAATATTATAATCTCTTTAAAATACAGCCATTGTTGTTAATTATAATATCGATCTGTTATCATGACAAAGTATGTTTTTGTTGTCTGAATTTTTTTTTTAATGACTTTAATCCCGTGCGAAAACGTTCCCATTAGAATCTACTATTCTACTCTCTAATAAATTTCAACTTTAAACAATTTTAGTAAACATGTTTATTCATAAAAATAAAAAAACATCATCAAGAAAAACTACTCAACACAGGATTAGTGAAGCTACCCACTTTTTAATGACTATGCTCAAGTAACGGTAAACCTAAAAACCTATACAACGACATGTGATATGTATCACTATACTAACCTTGGAGACTATCGCTAGAATTATTGTAGTACCATGCGTCGGATGGCACTTCATCGTGCGTTATCTCGAAAACGGCAAATTTTACAGCTTTTTGTACGTCCTGAATCGGCTTTTGATGACCAAAATCTTTTGAACCTTACTCTTTGTCCCTTCTCGCTCTGTATAATTACCAACTCGGAGTTCTGAAAGCATCTATATTTTTCGAACATTTTACTAAAGTTGTTGTAGGAATTAGAGAACTGAAATTAAGATAATTTGAGAATCAAAAATCCACCACTTTTCCATGAACTTTTCTTTCTTTTCTTTATTTAGTTTATTTTATTTATTTGTTTTCGCGGAATGCCCTATACAAGTAGAGTTGGCTATAATGGCAATAACAATGAACAAATTAATATGAAAAACATTTACATCTTATATACAAAATAAAATTCATTAGGATTCAGTGACAACATCCTCTCCTGATAACAACCAAACATCTGACTGTATGCCTAAATATAAACAATGAAATATAATATAATACCCCATATAATACAATAATTAAAACAATATATCTGAATATAGCAAGCAATAAAATGACAAATAGTAATAAATATCACTAGTAATAAAGATAAATACAGGCATAGTATACGAAATATAACATATAAACATGTCAATAGTAAATAGCAAATGATAAAATAAAACACGATATGCATATAAATATGTTTCATGCATGAATAATAAATACCAAAAGCAGAACAAAGTAAATAAACTTCAAAGTTTTGGAAAAATATATGTAATGCAATTATTCATTGAAAATTTTTCTTTCTTTCGACACATCGTTATTCTAAATCCATTGCATCTTAGAGTAAAAAACAAAACAATGAATCTATACATTTTAAAAGGCTGTTTTGTTTATATCAAAAAGTTTTGTTATGGGGGAAAAGTTTTAGAAAGCGCTTGTTAAAGTAGTATAATTTAGTTTAATCAAATTTAAAAAAAGAAGTGTAGGAGAATAATAACTTAAATAGTATGATATAAAAGAAAAAGTTAGATAAATGCGGATTCTAACATTCTTCTAGTAGCAGATACAAAATTAAATTTTGATTCGTTTTTTCTTCCTTTTTAACACGGTAAGTACCACGGTAGAAAAATAAAATAAAATACATGAAATGATGTTCAAGTCTTTCTTAAAGGCCTATTCAAAAAAATAATTATAAAAATATTTTTAAAAAATATCCGACATATATTGGAGCAGTAGTAATTTTAGGAATAAATTCCTTACTTTTTTTTTCTTAACAAGTGCTTACATTCAGTAGAGTAAATGCACCGGCAGCTGACATGCTTATTTTGTTATATGCTTATTAGTTCGCATGCTTTGAACCTTTATGTGTAAAAACTTAAATATTGATGTTATTATACTTGTCATGGGTTTTATCTTATATAACTATTTCTCACCCTACTAAGACATATTTCAAATCCATGAAAAATTTATCTAAATTTTAAAAAATTGAAAATTTAGAGAATAGTTTTGTTGTACCAGAAGCTGACACTGTTTGATATGAAATGTTGCTATAGCTGACAGAGATGATAAAAAGGATGTAATTAAGGAAATTTCATATTCTTCATTTTGAGATTAACAAAAATTACGTTTAACGTATTATAAAACTACCTTCTTGCGTTTCCCGACTTAAATTTATCAATAAATGCTGGTCACTGTCAAGAACGTTTTTTTTTTTGTAATAGCTTCTTTTTTTTCCTTACCCTCCCCCCAAAAGTGTATTTAATTAATTTATATATATAAGTATATCAAACAAATACATACTAAGAACAAGGTCCTTCCACTGCCCGAGAGCATTTTAAGGATTGGGGTTAGCTAAGGGTAACATTTATGGCACTTTATTTTTTTAATAAATAAATAATTTGGCAATAAGAAAACCTATTTTTGCTTCATATTTAATCCACATCTGAATCAATTTTTTTAACGAGACTATAGTGAATGGTCTCATTTTTAAGATCCGTTATATTAAGTATATCTCTTTTAATTTATGCGGATATAGGCCTATCAACTACTGGCAAAAGTCACTATTTCTCCTTCATTAAAATAAATAAAAAACACATAAAAAATAATTTTAAAAAAATTCAAAAACAATCAAACAAACATTTTAGGATAAATCTGAGTAGTTAAAGAGGAAAATGCAAAGGTAAGGTATGGTGCTCTTACTGATAGATGGTAGTTCCTGGGACACTTAAGTGGACCGTGAGGGACCTTCCTAATTTGCCAATCATTATTTCGGTTACGGTTTACCGCAAGACAAAAGCAAAGCAGACATATTTTCAATGAGAAAATATAAAAACTAAAAATATATGAAATAGATGTCTTGATGGTCTAGGATGTCTAGGAATTTTATTATTCCCATTTTTTGAGGAAGATGTCAGGTATTGATGCATTGCCGTAGCTGTATTATTTAAAAAGAGAAAGTAAGGTAAGGTCGAATCACTCACAGAAACAAGTTTGATCCGATAAAAAAAAAATACATATTTTTCTCATATTTCTCTTCCCGTGGATCCGCCTGCGCCAACAACAGAAAATATTAAATATACAACTCATTTAGTCTAATTATATATTTTATATGTTTAAATTTTTAAAAACCGTTGAAAAGAGTTGTTTTGTTTTTTTTTGTTGATGTTTACTGCCGAGTGACTGGAAACTTCCACGTTAAATGTGGCAACAAAGTGTAAACTGAGTTTTTGTTAGAGACAGTTTCAGCAACGATAAATGCAAATCATTTAATCCTGCGAGCATAACTTTTAATCGAACGGTACGAAGAATTCAGTTAAATTTTCCACAAATCAGGTTTTCTTAATGTTCCGAATTAAAATTCATGCGATGAAAAGCAAAATTAATGAATTATTCATTTTTAAAAAAAGGCTAATTTTCATTCATAGCCGTCGTTAAATTCTTGTTTTCTTCCTTTCGACTAATTTTAGTAATGATATGCATTGTTGTAACTTCATTAGTGGCGATAATTATTTTTACTGTCGAAATTCTTTCATCTCATCCTCAGCAGTATGCTTGATGTATTATGTATGGAGCTCCTTGTTAATGTGCAGTATTGGTATGTTGTATAAAGTTAATTTAGATGGCGAGGCGGGTAAACTACGTCTGATATTATACCGCGTGACGTCAATAAAACCTGCCATCCTCTCTTTCAGACCTCCGAAGAAACAGGTATCTCTAGTTTTCGTGCGCAGGTCGAAGGAACACCTCGCTCTTGGTCCGCTGGAAGATATGTTTCCGCGTGACGGTATACAAAATTCCTGATAGCCAATGGGCATCTTTCCTCTCCTCTGTCGTTGAGCTGGTATTCCCCGTAGTTAGTATATAAACAGCATTAGACTCGGTGTATGTTCAGTTGTTCAGTGTTCTCAGCTGTGCCTCACATCTCTGTTATTACATTTTTTTTTTCTCTGGTATGTACACAGCTTTTTTTATTTTATACCATTAGATTGTAATTTTGTAAATAATCTTAAATCAAATTAAACCAGAAGGGCTAAAAAAAAATAAAAATAATCTGATGTTCTGGATACCTACTCTTCGATGCCTTTCAATCAGAAGATTTTCTAGCATAGCAGATGGCAACAATAACCTTGGGAATCTCCTTTCAGTTGAGAAAAACAACATATGCTGCTAATCATTTGATGCAGTATATTGCAGAAACAAATGAAGACCATTTTTTCAATATCAACTTTTGGAAAAAAGTTTATCAAGAAATTTTATCATGGAGCATCTTGTATACATGTCAATTTTTTATAGATCTGTAATGTCTATATGATAGAGGAGAATTTACGTTGAAAATTTACAGGTTATGTTTTCTCAAATATTAAAAAAAAATAATAATAAAATGGTAAACAATCAGTCATTTCTGTTTCTCTGTCATTGCCAATAACATGTTCTTAAACACTTTGTTTTATTTATTTTGTTTCAATTTATTTTTTAAACAATTACTTTAACATCGGATTGCACTAGCGGATCCAAGAGGGAAAAGAGGGGCTTTCGGGCTGAAGTCTTCCCCTCCTCCTCTCCCCAATTGAAAAATATATATTTTTTTCATTGGTCCATATATGTTTCTGCGAGTGATGTGAGATAAATAAACCAAAATATTTATTCTTTTTAAATTTTAACGCATGAATTTCAGCTACTAAAGGTGAACATCTTTCAAGCAAAAACATATAAAAACATGCCTAAAAGCATTATTGTTTCTGTAAACACATTTTTATTTTTTATTTTTAAATAGGCCTTAGAGGGCCAAGTAAACATTATTATATACACTTTCTATCTGTTTAAAAAAAAAAAAAAAGAAACCTCCCTAAAATTAAATCTCTGATACGCTACTGTCTGATAGTAAGTTAATTTCTGTATATATTCTTAATTAGTATAACTAACCTAAGATTCTATAGAAACAAATCTCAATTAATTGCAACTTATAACCTTAATTTTAATATAGGAAAAATAATATAAATGTTTAATAATATATTTATAGACTAACACAAGGTTTAACTTGTTCCTAAAATCTTTATCTGCTCTTCAATGTTTACTAGAGCTTCAAACTCTTTCCTAGGTTCAGCTATGAATTCCACAAACTTTATTCTCCCTAATACACTTACAACAATAGAGTAAAATATAAATACGACTGAATGCTTTGCCGCTGTTTACACAGATGCATCTCATCACTTCCTTCTTCTTCAAGGACTTTTCACAACTGGTTTAAGAATTAAGGATTTAATGAATCTGCCAACATTTTTCTCTTTTTATCAAGAATAGTTAGAAGTCAACTAGCGATAAATTTTGAGAGCCAATAAGAGTCCTAATTAAAGTAAATAATACATCTTCACAATATATCTCCAATTCTTCTTCGGTGCATACTATTTATTTTCAAGTTTATCTATTATCAGCCATTTTACACCAATTTTCAAAATTTTGTCAACTTAATAACTACACATCTAATTACGATGTTTCGGCTCGTTGAGCCATTTTCAAGTCTAAAATTTTTTTTTCAATTTACAATCATATTTAAAACATTACATACTTCCACATATAGAGATTCTTTTTATATACCTAACTACCAATCATGTACCTGTCATTTTTACTTATGCGAATTGCATACGTCTACTCATAATACAATTTTTTATTTTTGTCATGTCCACCTTTAATTATTTTATAACATTATTATTAACCAGTCACTGAATAGAAATAAGACTGATTACATGTCGGTGACACATGATAAGGTAATTTTAACTTATTTGAATCATTTAATAATTAATAATTGAGTAATAATAATGTTATAAAATAATTAAAGGTGGACATGACAAAAATAAAATTTTTTTATTATGAATAGACGCATGCAATTCGCATAAGTGAAAAGGACAGGTACATGATTGGTAGTTAGGTATATAAAAAGAATCTCTATATGTTGAAGTATGTTATGTTTTAAGTATGATTGTGAATTGAAAAAAAATTTTTGACTTGAAAATGGCTCAACGAGCCGAAACGTCGTAATTAGATGTGTAGTCATTAAGTTGACAAAATTTTGAAAATTGATGTAAAATGGCTGATAATAAATAAATTTGAAAGTAAATAATACATTATTTTTAATTTAATTGATAGTCGTTACAATATGTCACGTTAAAGTGCAATAACCTACCTTATTTACAAGAAAAAAATAGAACAGATACCTATAAATATCTATATATTTACAGACATGCCATTATGCTGATAGCAAATTGACATAAAAATAACCAATTTATTTCCTTTTTCGAAATTTAGTTCGTAACTAGTCAGCGGCGTATACTTTTAATTGCTGATTATGGGACTATAATTAAGTTTGATATTTTTCTTCCATATAAGTAAGTGTATGGGAGTTAATATTAGTAATTATTAAAAATAAATAGTTTGTTTAATGATTTTATTGAGTATTTATAGAGGTACTGAAGGGCATATTAGTAATTAGTTAAGTCATTCACATGACTGAGTTGCCAATCACCCCTCACCCTTAATTTGGATAGATCATAATGTATTTTAAATTTAAAGGAAGAATCCTTTAATTATATGGTTTCCTGACAAGAACTCTTACACGAAATTTAATTTATTAATTCAAACCTTACTGTTACCAATAAAAGAGTCTATAATTCATTATTAATTAGATATGTATTTTTCATTGCTTTAGAACAACGTCTGACCTATAAATCGAGTTACATGTTGGAATTCGCTTGAAAATTAAGTTTAATCCCTGAGTTGACAGGTTTGAGGTAACAGATAATACCTGATTTGAAAATAATCTAAGCGTGATTCCTTTCAAAAAACATGTCAGACTGCGAATCCTAATAAAAACATTTATATAGTAGGATTATGTCAATGACCTCATGTATGTTTATATTCCGAAAAATAGGTTTATTGCATGTTGATAATTCAAGATAACGGCCGTGTAATATCTTCAAAATACGTCTAATTTTATTTTTATTGTTTTTTTTAATGACAGATTAACTAAAATGTAGCGGTTTATGAAAAGCCTATTTAATGGAAGTTGATATTTCTAATTTTAGTTCGCATAGTTGTATTTATAAGGCCTTGAAACCGGTTTCTGTAGTGGGTCGAGACTGTCCATTCCTATTCTTTTGGCATTCTTGATGCTTCTCTGAATCTTCATACTCTCTCAAACTCACTACATATTCTCAAATTCACTACATTCTATCCATGGCGATCTCTTCGATAAGCCCTGATGAAAGCCTGAACTTCTGGTCGAAACGTCGGCAAATGTTAAAATAAATATTATTATTTATTCTTGCCATTTTTATTTTGACTGATCACCCCAACTATCCTTCTCTTCATTATTCACTACAGTCAACCATCAACCCACAATCACTATATATTTTGTTGTGATATACGAGCACGTTGATAAATTCAGTATTCAGAAAGATAGCAATTGTTTCAGTTAGCTGTAGTAATAATAATCTTATTCTTGAACATTTTTAAAATATTTAAAAATAAATTTTGTTATCGATCATCATTCATAAAATCTCTTTTATCTAGTTACATGTTACAATTCAGCAGAAAGACTGCCAAACTCTTCAAGAACAATTTCATTAAAATGTGGAATTTTGAACTTTTGTCATCGATCTTCGATTTAGTGAACTTTTCTTCACGAAAGAAAAACAAAAAAAAAAAAAATATATATATATATATATATATATATATATATATACATGCATATATACATGTCCAACAAACGTAATAAGTATTGTATTATAAGACTTGATTTTATATGAGGAACCATATAAAAGATATGAACAATCATATGAAAGACTATAGAAATATTATAAATGCAATCATTAAAGTTGTTTCAAATTATAAATTATATCGAAAATTTAGTAGAATTATTTTAATTTTTATACGCTTTTACTTTTATTTTTCGTTTTATTCTTTTTGTTTTGTTTTTTTCTGTTTATCTTTATTCTCTCTGTGTTTTCCTTCTTCCTTTTGTAAATTGTAAATTATAAAAATACCGGTTGTTGATGACCATGATGCTTTACATCCTTGAACTTTATGCAAAAAAGAAAAATAAATAAATAAAAGATATTTGCTGTATTTTTATAAATATTGGACAGAATAAGGATTTTTTATACAGATTAGTTTTCTAGAAAATTTTAATACCTTTCAAATGAAGATCTGGAATCCTGAAAATTTACAGTTTTAGATCTATCAAAATACTATTTTTTTTTCTTACTCTTCTATATTTACAATACTACAATTCGCTAACAATAATATATACACTTTGGGTTACATCGAAATACTAAAAAATATAAAAATTGTCTCAGATTACTTTAAAAAATGGGTATAATAAAAATTGCTACTATTTAGATTTTTTATAGAGAATTTGACTTGTCAAGTCATAAGTTACGTGTATTTTTTAATTGAAAACAAATATTTTGGTGCTAAACAAGATAAAAAAACGTTATTAGATTTATCTTTTCAACCTGCAATTGTTAGTTACCACTGGTTCAAGAGTAATAAGATTTAGACTAATTTTTTTTTTTTAATTTATGAAAATAAAAATACATTCAGTAAATGTGAACACAAGAATATTATAACATGAAACCACTTATTGAGAAACGAACCACTGGTAGCACTCTAATTTAGACTAATTAAATTTAAATTACAGCTTTTGTATTGAAAAAATTATGTTGCAGTATTTTAAAAGAAGATTTGAAAACTCTTATACCTACTATATCTTTATTTATTAAATTTTTATAATTAGATTTATTATTTATATATTTATTAAAAAGTTATACCTATTAACGATCTATCTTTTTCTTAAAAGAATAAAAAAAAAGGGTTCAGTACTATTTAGAGACAGTACTGTTTCAAGAACTATTAGTTGTGCAGAGAGGGGATCAGGTCAGGATCACGCTCAACGG